CAATTGTTTAATATCTCCCGAGTCACATTTCTGAGACTTCAAAGAAGTTGAATTCTAAAATTTTCTTCTGTTTCCTCAGAAAATGTTCCTCTGAATGTGCTCCAGCTCTGTTTTTTGGATTCAGTACTTTGTTTCTCCCCGACTTCCAACCTTCCCCCCAGAATTTTGGCATAGTCCCCCTGCTGCTATTTCCATCTCGGGTATTTCAATCTGTGGTCATTCCTGGCCCCCAAATACTCTGTGCCCCACATCCTTGCCTCCCCTATTTACCTGCCAACATTTTCATTATTATGATTATGTTGGTGCAAATAGTATTTTAATTGCTGTGGGCTTATGATTAATATGTGAACATATTATTACATGTCAGTTCCCTTCTACTTACCTCTATTTGACTGATTTTTAATATGCACGTTTTCCATATTTTCATGTTTCTGAAATCAGGGCATGATAATAATATTCAAATCACAGTTCTTTATATTTCTTCCCAAAAACTGTTTTAAAATTAATAGTCTTACCATTGATGGTGTTTTGAAACCAGTACAGTATTTCCTACACATCTTAAGCAGAGTGTGTGTTGACCTTCCTGAATTCTTTTTAAGTTGGTCCAAAATGTGTTGTACCGGATGCATAGTCTTTGAAGTATTTAACATCTGTTCCCTAATTTCAGTATAGTTGAACTTGATTTTCCTTCCTTTTCATTTCCTTGGTTTTTGTTGTGTGGTGTGTATGTGTTGACACTTTAACCACCTTTCCAGAAATGTTTACCATTAAGTATGAAAGAGGAGTCTGTAAGTTTCCCAATGATTTTGTAAGCCATCAAAAACCCCGTAACATGTCTCTTTCTGCTCAGATTTGCTGGAGTGAATTCTGTTCCCCCAAAGTGAGCCTGCTCCCCCCGCAAGTAGAGTCTACTGGGGGTATATCTGGCAGAGATGTTAGGTTACAAAGCCTATCCAATTGTAATCATGAAAAGTGAAGGAAGGAAAGCAAATGAATGTGGAGCTTTAGAAGGCCTATACTTGGAAACTACTGTTAGTTCAATCCATATACAATTTCCGAGGTGCTTTGGTGTGTGCACCTCCCTAAAGAAAAGACTCAGGGAAATGTGACAAAATGAACTGAGAATCTAACAACCTCACATTCAGGCCAGGGAAGTCATTGTATTCTATCTCTACAGCAACTTTCTGTAGCTTTCTCTTGATTAAGATAAATTAAACATATACCCAAGTTTGGTTTTCCCATAAATCCAATAATTATGTTTCCAAAATGGAAAACCTATACATTATTTTTAAAACCTGTTTTACACATTAGAAATAACACAGAACTGTACATTTTTCAAGCTAAGTTGGGGCAGTCAGTATTTAGCTTATAAATACACTTTCTTTGTCATGAAGAAGTACAAGTTTAAGCCATTTTTCTAAGTTTTGTTGTTATAAGGAAACACTAATTTCACTATTCAAACTAAAGTCTCTTGGAAAAAGAGTGTCAATATGAATATGCCCGAAACCCTGAAAAGAATCTGGACCAAAGACAAAATTTTACCAAACAGATGCCAAAAAAGCATTTTCTTTCATTGCTGAACTTAATTTTTCCATGAACTATACTGTGTATTCAATCACAAACAAACCCAATAACAGGATCATACACTGTTTTAAATCCACAAACACAAGACTTTGGAATCAGAAGTAAAACCCTCATGGAGATGACACAGAGGTAAACTCTTATTAGTGACACCTCTTTTTTGTGACTCAGATTTTTACTGGTACTGTTGTCAATTGGCATAAATTTCAAATAAAGGAATATCATGGCCTTTTCAATGGCAATAACTAGCTATCTACAGATATAAAACATAATTGGCATGCAATAAAGATGTAGTACTCTAAAAATCTTTTTCAAATCAATAAAAATGTATTTTAAAAACAAAGTCTTAACTTTCAACTTCTTTCTTCCAATGCTCACCTAAAAACTAACTTTTGTTACCAAGAAATGTCTCTCAACTTGTTTCCTGGCTCCTAAAAGCCTGACCTTTTATTCCCCTTCTTGCATTTTTATTCCATCATACCCAGTCCTCCTGATTTTCCAGACTCGTGGGGTAAGAGCACTGCGGACTGCTTTGGGAGACCATGGAATTGAGTTCAATGCTATCTGCGATGTTGGTTAAAACACAGTAATGGCCACAGATGCATTTTGCCCTTGAACCGCAACATCTTTTAAAAATTATTATGAAGCACTTAGGCAATACAAAAAGTGTAGACTGTATTACAATCAATACTTGAAACCCCACCACTCAGCTTAAGATAAGACACTTTTCAACTTTTCTTCCCTGACAAAATTACTCCATAGTATTTGGTGCTTTTCATCTCTATTCAGGTAGTCTTTTATTACCTCCCCTCCACGCCCCCCCTCCCCACCCCCGCCACAAACAGCATATATTATTTTGCATGCCTTAAACATTAAATATTATAAGTATTCTTCTGAAACATTTGTTTTGTTCTGCAGCTCTAGTTTTTTTACTGCCTTCAGTACTGCATTGGATGGGTATTCCATAGAGGTCCACTCTTGTATTGGTGGATATTAGGTTGTTTCCAGTTTCTTACTACTTCCGAACAATAGAGCTAAGATTTTCTGATTCATTTCTTCATTGAATACAACTTGCTCTGAGATACACACCAAGAACTGTTGAGTTACAGGGTCTTCCACATGACTTGACATGCCAGTTGCTGTCTGAAGTGATTGTACCACGTAAGCCCCTACAGCAGAGTGGGGGGCCTTGGGATTATAAACTCTGTAGGTAAGAGTCCTAGCTGTTGGAATCCCCTGTGGCCGGGTTGAGGATCTATTCCTCCAACTAGTGCAACTGCTAGTCATCCCAAGGATATTTCTAGCTCAGACACATGCTTTCATGTTAATTTCCAGGCTTTGAGCTTCTGTATCACAAAAGTCTTGTGAATTCAAATCCTGAAGCCATGGTCAGGCGAGTCCAGTCGGAATTCTCAGAGGGGCCTTTTTTCTTTTTTAATCCAAAGCACAGACCAAGAGAACAGAGGCTCCTTGAGGTCTCCCTGGCCAGCAGGAGAATTTCTTGTCTAGTCTGTTTCTACACTGAAGGTCTTTAAAGATCTGGCATTAAATATGAGGCTCAGTTATAACTTCATGTCATATGGACTGAAAGGTCCAAGTGACCTTTAACATCTGAACTCCTGGCTGGCTGAGATGGCCACCTTCCTCTCCACCACCCAGCTTGCAGCCCACAAGCCTGTGTGGGTTCAAGTTTACTGTTCTGGTTTTTATTTTATTGGCAATGGAGTTTAATTTTAATGTTCAGGCCTTTGGAAAACATTTTTCTCTTATTCTCTTGTGCCCCAGTACTTGTAGGAAAGAAGTTATGCTGCTCTCATAAGGGAAAATGGGAGCAAAAAAGTAATTTTGAGGTTCTATTTGTTTCAATGTTTAAGCCTCATTTTCTACATCAGCGGAATCCAACAGAATTTCCTAGGGATGGGAATCCTATATAATAAAAGGGTAATATGCAAATGGATCAAACAGCAGAATGACTGGTCACTATGACGTGCACCGACCACCAGGGGGCAGACGCTCAATAGGAGCTGCCCCCTCGTGGTCAGTGCGTTCCCACAGGGGGAGCACCACTCAGCCAGAAGCTGGGCTCAGGGCTGGCGAGCCTAGCGGCAGTGGCGGGAGTCTCTCCTACCTCCGTGGCAGCACTAAGGTTGTCCAACTGCCAGCTTAGGCCTGCTCCCGGGGAATGGGCCTAAGCCATCAGTTGGACATCCCCTGAGGGCTCCCGGACTGCAAGAGGGTACAGGCTGGGTTGAGGAACATCCCCCTTACCCCCAAGTGCACAGATGTTGTGCACCAGGCCTCTAGTGTTCTATAATGCCTTCTGTTCCATATGGCGGGCACTCGTCACCCGTGGCTGCCAAGTGCTAACATGTCTGATGAACTAAATTTTTAATACTATTTTAGTTAGAGTTTAAACTTAAATAGTCACATGTGACTGGTGTCTACTATATTTGACAGCACAGTTCTAAATAGTAGTAATAGTTTTCAACCTCTGGTGATTTTATGTACTAACCAACCACTGAAGTCTGGGAACAAACCTTGCAAATCTACTTCTGATAGTTACAGAATGAAGTATTTGGACATGACTTCAGAATACCTGCCACCACAAAACTGTATAGCTTCATTATTTTGATAAGCAGGCATTTCTTGCCTGACTTGTCTTTCTGGGGATTTTCAAAGATCTACAGTGACCAGGTTTAAGTGCACTTCTTTCCATTGCTAGGAAGGTAGGGAATCAAAGTCCAACAACTTTTCAAGGGTATTTATGGAGTACTCAAGTGTTAAGAAACCTCAAGGATAAAATAACCAGAAATATAAATAAATGTATTTAGAATGCAACATGAGACAATATGATTGAGTGTACAATTTGGTTCATCTTTTAACTGAAAAGTTTATTGGTGACTGAAAATGTGTACAAGTTAAAACATGAACACTTTATATGATTCATTTCTAGCATTTGATGCAAAAACAACACCAAGTACTGCTCTAGGACTGGACTGGGCTTATATTTTCAATTTTTTAAATTTTTAAAGGGCATTACAGTATATGAAGTGACTCATTTCTTTGTTCTTTAACTGCCATAAGTATAGATTAATGTGGCTGAAACAAAAATGCAGATATGAACATAATGAGAACCAGTATGTATTTGGAAACAAGGCCACATAAGCTTGGCAGGTGCTTCTGGCCATTTGATTGTTTGGCCTCCAAAAATAAAGATTTGTAAATATTTCCCACCATGGGTCATCCACATGAATTCTCTCTGTTCTTGTATAAAACTAATGCCTAGGTTTGGCATTTAGGAATGCACTGAAATGGGCTCTGAAGTAAGAAAAGCATTTCATGGGATGAAGGAACCAGGTCAAAAGTGAAAAAGCTAGAAGTTTACATTTTAAAACTCAGCACACATTTCCAGGTAAAACTGATTTAAACCTCTGTCCTGAGGTTTTCATTTTATCCATATGATTTAAAATGTCTACAAGAACTGAAGCCCCTTAATTCCAGTCAACAAATTTCAGACATTTTGTTTCTTAAGAATTTCTTTTTTTAACATTCTCAACACAAAATTTTAAAACGAAACAAATTAGAAAGCATTTTTAGCATAACGAAGGGGTATGTTTTTTCAGAGTGTATGAAGTCCACTCTTCTCTTGATAATCTTCATAGAAACGTCTCAGTGACTGAGGAATTCTGGGCGTCACAGTGCTCAAGGCTTGAGTGAAATGTTTTTTCCTGGTGCATTTGGCTTTAATGTCTTCTTCTAGCGCCAGAAGGGCGGCCTCTCTACAGAGGGCGATGATCTGAGGGGAGAGAGAAGGCAATCAATATTGGTTTTTAGAAATGTAGCATTTCGGTGTAAGTTCTGCAACTATAAGCACATTGCTAAACCTATTCCACTTACATTTTCAAAAGGATAAAAAGTAATCACCTTCATTCCCAAACAACACGTTAAGTACTCGTGTTCTGTTAAGTACTCAGAACCAGGAGCAGCAACATAATCAAGATAATGGCCTTTGCTTACAGCTGTAAAGGCGGAACAGACCGGCTGGCACATTGTCTCACGTAGGACTATGAAGGATGAGTGTGTACGTGTGGCGGGGCAGGGAAGGAGGCACTATAGTGAGGTCCGGCTCATCAGCACACCTGGCCACGCACAGAATCGCCACATTCCTTTCAGCCTTTGATGTATTACCAACATGTAAAAGCATTTCTTTATGTGCATCTCTTTAATGAGTTCTTAAATCTCGGGAATATCAGATTGAGTTGTCTCTGTTTACTTTGGAGAGCTGCGTTAGAACAGAGAAGTGAATTCTGTTTACTCAGCCAGGGAAGCTGAAAGAATGGCAAAGAATGGAAAAGGGGGGGGGGAGGGAGAGTGAGGGCAGAGTGGGCGGTGGGGAACCGGAAGGGAGTTCAAGTCTTGAATCCTGAAATGTGTTTTTAAGCTCTCTACTCCTCAGACAGCGGAAGCAGGCTGATGGCAGTGTCATTCTAAAGACACATTACTGTGGTGAAAGGGGCTTGTGGGATGAAAAGAGAGATTGTGATTTTCAGGGCAACAGGGAAAACAGTGATTGATACTGACTGCGCCCTTCTATCGGTAAATGAAAGGGCCAGCTGAAACGCATTTGTCCAGCCATTCAGCATATTTTCTCTGTTTGTTCACTTATTGAAAAGGCTCCTCTGCTTATGCTGGGCTAATGGCTGCTGAAGCAATTCAGTCCCTTTTTAGGGGATTTAGCAGCATGTTTTTAGGAAACTTTCAAAAAAACATGCAGATTTAGGTGGCTTTGTCAAATTACGACAATGACACTGTTAATTCTGGGCTTCATTAATGAGCACTGAAGTTGACTGCCAAGGTTCTGCATGTTAATGCTTTTCCAGAAAGAGTGGCTACCAACTTGAGGGAAAACATAAAACTTCAGGGATTAGTAAAACACCTTCATCACATACCCTGGTGCAAAAAGAGTTATTTTGAAAATAAGACATGATAAATAATAAGCACGGTAAGAGAGTGTGGAGTGCCCAGCATGGTAACCTAGCAATTCAATGGTCCCACTATGTGCCAAAGAGAACTGGGGGATCTCCTTGAAGGGCCTCAACCCTCCCACCTTCCTTCTGAGCAGCACTTTCCTCATCCGGGTAAGAATGTGAAGCACTGATTATGAGGCTAAAAAGTTGGAAGAAGGTCCAGAGGGGAGGAGCCAGAGAGGACTGGATTTTCTGCTGGCAGCGGAGCCCAGCCCTCTGACAGTTCAGGAACGGTCCCACTGCCTTGCTCCCTCTCAGGCTAAGTGGAGTAGAGAAGCCATCACTCTGGGCATACCACGTCTTGCACACTTCAGAAGTGAGACTTAGCTCACAGAGCATCAAATGCTACGAACATTTACTGAGTACATGCCACGTGTGCCAGACAACTACTCATGACTGTGCTGACTGACTGCTATGTGACCAGTGCCCCAGGTTTTGTACAATGCAGTGATCAGCTAATGTGAAGTCTTGATGGGAGCATGGCAAATAGAGTGGCCAGAAGAGCTCGTGTAGCGAGGTGGTGGTGGGTAGGGAGTAGGGTGGTGGGGAGGTTGGTTGAGTTGAGGAAAGGAGAGGTGACTGGAAGGCTGCCTGGAGCCTCTCAAAGTTCCTGGAATTTGGTTCACAGAGCTACTTGGTAAGTGATTAATTCTGCTGGCACATGTGAGAAAGTTCACAGTCTAAGAGGCTTCCTCTCAATACACAGAAATAAAACTGGAAGAAGAAATGACTATACTCCTGTAATTCCTGGATTCTCCAGGTAGTCTGACGTGTCAAGGTAGAGCAGGTGGGTAATGACAGGTCATTGAGGCCTCAAAGGCTGTCCTTGGGGTCAGCTCCCCTAAGTAATTTCTCTTTGCAGGTCAGCTTTTCTTCTTCAGTATCTGCATCTATAGCTTTTTCTCTAAGCGGTAAATTGCATTTTGCCCTTATGTGGTGGCTTCCATGGCAGTGACAGAGGGGCCTAGATGGTGAGATGTGGTCAGAGCAATCTCAGCCACTTGAAAGCTGGATGTTTGTAACTTGAGGCCTCTAGTGTATGTTAACATTTGAGAAATTCCCTGTAATATTTAGTACTGGCCTGACCCTTATTTAACAATTCCATCCAACCAGGAGATCTACAAATCTGTGAGATACAGAAAACTTGGACAGAGTTTGACGAGAGTGCTGAGAAATGTGTGGATTAGGCACAGATGACCTTTAGAACCTTTGAGAGACAATGACAAGGGAAACGGCGGCAGAATCCTGGCCCTCAAGGACCGCCCAGGAAGGTGTCCTCCTGGGTTTGCAGCTGTTTGCACTTCCAGGGTGGCAGGAGGACTACCTGAATGCAATACTTTGCTTTGATAAATGTCATCCTGCTTCTTTTTATTTACAAGGACACCCTGAAGAACCAGCCAATTAGGCAGTCCTTTCCACCACTTTTATTTTCCTATCATATTTACTTAGCAATACACAACCTGTAACTGAGAGGAAATAGTACACTACTCATAACTGACCAGTCATGCTTTCATCAATCACACCTACTGAATAGCTCCTCTGTGCAACACCTAGGTGAGGCCTGGTGTAGCATCTAGAGATGTCCAAGACACAGTACCTGTCTTCTGATGCTCCCAAACCAGGAGGTATAGACAGCAGCTAACTTTGGTGGGGAGAGAAGGCAAAATACTTTGGTGGGGAGAGAAGGAAGGAATTAGTGCTTCATAAACCGGTGTGGGAAGGACAGAATTTAGATATTATACAAGGAAGGAAAGGGCATTCTGAGAAGAAGGAATAAAGTGAGCAAAGAAATGGCAAGATGGGGAAGGAGACCAAAATGGAGAACTAAAAGTAAAAGAGTAATTCCATAAAAAAGGGGGGGGGCGCGCACTAAAAAGAGCAAGGATAGTTTTCAGAAGTCACGAGGGCCGCAATGGCAGCGAGGGCTCGTCAATGACAGGCATCTCTAAAGCTCTCACCGACTTCACAAGCATCTGATGCACAAGCAGCAGAGAGAGCACCGCTCCTAAAGTTCCTTTGTTTTTATTTTCCCCATGAAAGGGCTTCTTGGTAAAAATTCCAAAAGGAAAAGCCTTAATGGTATTGCTGGTTCTTCTCTCCTGACCCAACGAAGAAGACAGGTTGAAAAACAGGCGTATCTTGGGTTCTGCTGGCTCTGGGGTCACGGTTTTGGTAGGAGTGCCAAGAGACTGTACTTCCGAAGGAAGGTGCCGCTTTCCTGCTTGCTCCCATGGCCCATGCCAGCATTCCCCTTGAGCTATTAGTGTCTTTCAGAAGAAGTATTTCTCAACAAATACGTTTTAGGTAATCGTGTTTATACTGTTTCCCATGAAGCACGGCAGACTTTTAAAAATTTTGTGAAGCCTAATAATGATGATCTGCTTAATTTTTTTTAACCCAGTGTTTCCCACAGAACTCCCCCCCCCCCCCCCGCCCTGTTCTTGGCAGAAAAACCTATAACTGGCCATTATTAGAGTTATTGGGGATCTTCAGCACAGACTCTGGGAGGTGCTAATTCCCACCAAACAACTCAGTCAAGGCACAATATGACTCTTGCCTGTCTCACACCTTTTTTCTTTTGCTCTCCCCTATTCCAGAACAGGGAGAAGAGGGAAAGGGCTGAGCAAAAGACAGAGGGTCAGTCTGTTTAATGAGGTCAAAGGGCCACAGCACACATTTGTACTTGGAGATATAAACAGTTAGTATATATTTGTTGAATTGAACCCAACAATTCTTTAATTTAAAACAAGTTTTCAAAAAGTGTGTGCTACATGCATCTTTCTCATATCAGGCCCATAACCTGTAATATTTTCACTTACATTTCACATGACCTAGACTTTGTCAGTTCTACTGAGGCTTTTGGAATGATAAAGTCAGTAACAAAAACTGCTTCACACTGTGATGGATGTTCCTCTTCAGCAATGTTTCATCTGAGGCACTACTGGGACCCTAGTTCGTCCTTAGAACACAAATGAGGACTTCTGGCAAGAATGCCTGTGTTAGTCTGAGAGAAGCTTCCTTGGGTATCAAAATTTTTTACACAGGACAGAACATTTTTGCTGTGTTGTCATGGGGGAAAAGTGTCCTGTAATTGAGAAAACGTGCCAACAATGCAGTAATATGTATATTGGTTTAGAGGACTGAAATGGAAGCTTTGTTTAAAAAATTTGTGCAAATGGTGATCTACTCTTCCACTTGATGAAAGTAATATGGCTCCCATTAGTTGCTGAGGGATTTTCTTTTCTGTATTAAACTTTGAAAAGGGAGGGTTTTTCTGATAAATTTGCTAATACATCTCTGAGAACGAATACTATAAAAACTGAGTAAAAGGAGCTCCAATTTAAACTAGGACCTCCTCATTACTTTCTCAAGCTTGTAAGAGAACCTACCGAGATGAGTATATGTATAAGTAGCTACCTCCCTAAGAGGCTACAGACACCACACGCCCCCCTTCTGCTGGCATCATATTCAAAAGCAGACGGAGTCGGGGACTCCACCGTGAGGGTCTTCAGCCGAATTTCCCCCAGGAGGGCACAGAAGAACCTCACTGAGAAGATGTAGCTGAATTGACAAACTGGAATCACGGGTTGTCTGGAATGTTAAACTAACCTGTTTACAAAGAAAACGCTGGACACTTGAGCACCTTACTTCTCTGGCAAAAAGGGTTTTGGAAGCTTTTCCCTGACCCTTCACAATCTTGTCCTCTTCCCCACAGGCTGCAGGCTAGATCATTTAAATAAATAGGGCGCCTTTACCCTTAGGCTGTAAA